TGTAGAGCTGAATGAACACAGCAGGCCAAGCAGCATCAGAGGAGCAGGAAAGCTGACATTTCGGGTCTAGACCCTTCTTCAGTCTGGTCATCCAGACATGTCTGGACCTTTGTAGCCGATTTTGCAAAAATTTTGCCTGAAAATTTGTGGAGCTGGCGTTAAGAAGAACAAGAGCATTTGTTGAATGGTCTTCCCAGTGAATCCGGGGGATGAAGCAGAGGCATTTCTGTTGGAATTTCTGTGGCATTCTTACAAACAAACCAGGTCTCACTGCATTATAGATATGTGATGACAATGATTGCAACATATATTAGGACTTTGGTTGATTTACAGAGGTCTTTGGTTGCCAGATGAATGCTTGCTACAGTTTAGTCTAATTGACATGGATTTAATTAGTCTCTGGGAGATTTAAATTATACCTGGGGTTGTACTATCCCCAGAATAACAGCATACTGGATCAGCGATCTTGCCTATAGAACATGGAACCTAAAGTGCTTTAATACTATATTCAACTGTTCTGGCATTTTACATTATTCTGACTACTTATATGATCAATGACAACTATATGTACCCATCCTTCACTACAGGTTTCCCAGAATTAAATTTGGTAGGATGAAATATTTAATTATATTACTGACTTTCACTATTCAGGTGAATAAATTTTTACATCAATTTTTAATGGAACTAGCAAGGCTGAATAAAAACACCGTAAAGTCTTACATTCTTTTCATGCTTTTCACAATCATCAAATATCTCAAAGTATTTAACAGGAAATTTAAATTGTAGCTGCTGTCATAATATAAGAAATATGACAGCCAATTGGCACACAGCAAATTCCTACAAAAACCAGTGCAATAATTAAGAGATTATCTGTTTGTCTGATGTTGCTTTAGGAACAAATATTGACCAGAACCCTGGGGATAACTCTCTTACCCTTTGAAATCCTTTACATTTAGCAGCACCGTTGTCGACAGGGCCCTCAACTAGGTCTGAAACATCTTGTGCACGTCCGCCCTCACACCCTCTCTTTCCTCCCGCAACAGCAATAAGGTTCCTCTTGTCCTTACCTATCATCCCACCAGCATCCACAACCAGAAGATCATCAGACGCCATTTCTACCACGTTCAGCAAGACGCTGCCACCAGACAAATATTCCCCTCCCCTCCCTTGTCTGTCTTCTGCAGGGACCGTTCCCTCTGGAATACCCTAGTCCACTCGTCTTTCACTCCACACAGTCTACAACCCCCTGAAGCCCCACTGCACCTTCCCCTGCAACTGCCGACGGTGTAACACTTGCCCATTTACCTCCTCCCTCCTCAGTATCCAAGGGTCCAAACATATCTTCCAGGTGAAACAACACTTTACCTGCACTTCCCTCAATCTAGTCTACTGTATTCGCTGCTCATACTGTGGTCTCTTCTGCATTGAGGAAACGAAGCATGGCTAGGTAACCACTTTGCAGAACATCTGTGTTTTACCCACAGAAAAGACCCTGAGCTTCCAGTTGCCTGCCACTTTAACACACCATCCTGTTCCCTGGCCAACATCTCTGTCTCGGGCTTGCTGCAGTACTCCAGCAAAGCTGAGTGCAAGCTGGAAGAACACCTCACATTCCGCTTGGGGACCCTGCAGCCCTGCGACTCAATATTGAGTCCAATAATATTAGGGTCTAAACTCTCCCAAGACCTAGTCCCCTACCCACACACCAAGCCTTGTTATCGCATAGTCTGCCTTTCAACACTACCTATTGTTAGTCACTAACAGTCTCCATTAACTATTATGCACTCTCCTAGCCAGATTGTTATCAACTCATTTGTCTATTCAATTGCTCTTCTCTCTCTTTGGGCTCTATCCCCAGCTATTATTTACTCCTTATCCCCTCCCCCACCCTATCTTGTGTGTATAAACTAACATTTTCCTAGCTACCATCAGTTCTGAGGAAGGGTCACCACACCCCAAAAGTTAACCCTGATTTTTCTTCACAGATGCTGCCAGACCAGCTGAGCTTTTCCAGCAACTTCTGTTTTTGTTCCTAATTTACAGCATCTGCAGTTTCTGTTTTTACCTCAAGGTTTGAATCCTGGCATTGTCCTCCACGGTTGAGGACATCATAGATACCAAATTTAGCAAGCTGATCACAGCTCAAGTAAGGGCTGCACAGGCAGAAAAGTGTTAAATGACCACCAGTAGTGTTCATGCTCGAGATGAGACAGTGCAAGACCTAAGCCAGTCAAGTGGTTAAAGTTTGAACGGGTAAAAATTTTGGGGATAGTGACCATAACTCTCTGTAACTTCCAAAGTCAGCCTGGAAAGGGATAAGAGTATTGCAGAAATTAAGTGTCTAAATTGGGGGAAGACTGATTTTAATATCATTAGACAAGATCTGGCAGCTATATATATTAGCTGAAGCTACTTAGCTTACTCCCAGCTAAGTCTACATTTGGAAAGTGGGAGTCTTTTAAAAGTAGTGTGTTGAGAATTCAGGGCCAGAATGTTCCTCTAAAAGTGAAGGGCAAGGGCAGCAAGTCCAGAGAACCTTGGATATCAAGGGATATTGAGAGTTTTGCAAAGCAAAAGAAGGAAACACGTCAGGTAACAGTTTGCACTGGGGAAGGTTCTTCTTAAGGGGAGGCGATGGCCCAGTGGTATTATTGCTGGACTGTTAATCCAGAGAGCCCAGATAACGTTCTGGGGACCTGGGTTCGAATCCCACAACGGCAGATGGAGGAATTTGAATTCCATAAATATCTGGAATTAAGAATCTAATGATGACCGTGAATCCATTGTCAGTTGTTGGAAAAACTCATCTGGTTCACTAATGTCCTTTAGGGAAGGAAACTGCCATCCTTACCTGGTCTGGCCTACATGTGACTCCAGACCAGGTAAGGATGACAGTTTCCTTCCCTAAAGGACGTTAGTGAACCAGATGGTTTTTTCCAACCCTCAACTGCCCTCTGGGCAATTAGAGATAGGCAATAAATGCTGCCTAGCCAGCGATGCATTCATCCCATTAATGAATGAAAAAAAGATAATTAGTACTTCGCTGAACAGAGGTGAAGTGCAAGATGACCGGAGGATAGCTGAACTTGTTCCTTTATTCAAGAAGAGCAACAGGGATGGACCAAGTAATTACAGATCAGATTGTTTGATGTTAGTGGTAGTGAAATTATTGGAAAAAATTCAGTAAGACAGAATTAATTGGAAAGGCAGGGCTTGGTCAGGGATAGTCAACTTGGATTTGTTAGAGGGAGATCCAGTCTGATAAATTGAGTGTTTTGAAATGGTGACTAAATATATTGGTCAGGGTAGTGCAGTTGAAATGGTTTACGTGGATTTCAGGAACGCTTTTAACAAAGTCCCACTTGGAAGATAGATTCAGAAGGAATGAGCCCATGGGATCAAGGCAAGTTGGAAAACTGGATCAAAAATTGGCTTACAAATAGGAGGCAAAGAGTCATGATGAAGGGTTGTTTTTGTGATTGGAGGCCTGTGACCAGCGGTGTAGCACATTGATCAGTCCTGGAACCCTTGCTGTTTGTAATTATATTAACAACTTAAATGTGAATGTGGAAGGTATAATTAGCAAGTTTGCAGATGACACGAAAATTGGTGGTGGTGTTGCTATTGAGGAGGATGGTCTTATGCTACAGTTTGATATTAATTAGCTGGCAAATTGGGCAGGGCATTAGCAGAGGGAATTTAATCCCAATAAAAATGTGAGGTAATGCATTTTGAGAGATCTGATAAGCGAAGGACATAATCAATGAATGGTAAATTCCTAGGAAGTACTGAAGAACAAAAGGACTTTGGTGTACAAGTCCATAGATCGTTGGACGTGTCAGCACAGGCAGGTAAAGAAGGCTTGCCTTCATTAGCTGGGAAGTGGAGTGTAGGAGTAAGGAAGCCTTGTTATAACATCATAAAACAATAATTAGACAACAAGTGGAATATTGTGTGCAGTTCTGTCGTCACACTGTCAAAAGGATTTGATTGCACTGGAGAGAGTACAGAGGAGATTGATGTTGCCAGGGAGGAAAAGTCTCAATTATCAGGAAAGACTCGATAGGCTGAGTTTGTTTTCTTGGTGCTGAGGGGTAATCTGATTTAGGTATACAGAGTTATTACAGGTGTAGATAGAGTAGATTTGGAGAATCTCTCCTCCGTGGCTGATGTGTCTGAGACCGGAGGGCATAAGTTTAAGGTGAGGAGCAAGTGATGTACAGGAGATAAAGGAAAGAATGTTTTTATCCCGAGAGTAGTAGATATATGAAACATTCTGCCTGAGAGGGTGGTGGAGGCAGATTCTCGCACCATTTTAAAAGCATCTGGTGAGTATTTAAAATACCAGGGCATACTAGACTAAGGGCCAAGAGCAGGTAAATGGGATTAGTGTAGTTTGGTGTTTGTTGCTCAACATAGACATGGTGGGCTGAAGAGCCTGTTTCTATGTTGTATGACTCTGTGACCAGCTTTTCCCAGTGCCTCCTTGCCCCACTCGGATGTAGGGCATCTTTGCTTCTTTATTCATTTCCATGATGGCCTCCAAGCGGCACCTGAAAATCTTGAAGTCCACTCTAATTTATGTTGTGATATTTTTCCTCAGCACAAATATAGCTCCTATAAGGGTGTCAGCACTGACAAATGTACATTCCTTTTCAGAGGCATAGGCTAGCTTTGACTTTTGCTCGTCACTCATATTGACCCCTCTGTTTATTCTGATGAGCAATATGTTTGCCCTTGTTGTCAATTTGAAACCATTTCAAACAATAGGCAGCATAAAGTTTGTGTGCTGTGTGGCATCTCCTCCTTATAATCCATATCCAGGTTTCTGGACTCTCAAATTTAACTCTAGCTTATGAGTAATAACAGATAAATTTAATTGCTAATAATCTTGCTCATCATTTCCTTCAAATTTTTCTGCTGCGTTTACTGGTGTTATGTTAATCAACAGATCCCATAATTTTATATTACATAACTCTTCTTTGATTCCATTCATCTAGGAAAACACAAGTTTCTGTGCGCTAGCAGAAACGATTGCACTATTGATAAAGTACGGAGAAAAAACTGTCCATCATGTCGTTTGAGAAAATGCTTTGCAGCTGGAATGACGCTTGGAGGTGAGTAACATTTCCACTCTTTTGAATGACAAGGTTTAGTGGACAGATAACTATGATAAAAGGATGCATATTCAATTAAATTTTCCCATAATTTATTAATAAAGGAATGCATCTGTACATGGCTGGTACTTGTTGCTAAGTTGAGTACTTAAATATTGGTAATTAGAGCAGATTGTCCCTGTTACTCATAATGGATCATTCGAGAAAAATAACGTCACATGTAAAAAAGCAAAGTCGTTGCAAAGCTTGATTTGTCAGTTGAATTAATTATGCACTCAGACCAGATCAGATGCTGGTTTTATGATGTATTAAAACTAAGTATTATGACGAAACACCCTAAAGTTAAAGACATTTTAATGGCAAATAAAACATTTTAACAGATTAAATATGGAGAAATGCAACTTACATTTTCATATTTAGATGAACCAAAGAAAATAAAATTAGTTATTTTTAGTTATACTTCTCATACCTGTCTTCTTGATTAGTATTCAAATGTGATTGGTTTCTTAATATTTCTGGTGGATGAACTAGAAAACTTTGCCCTTCAGCTTGGGAAGCTCAGAAAATGCAAAACCTTGTTAAATAGACTTGAGCTGCAGAAACACAGGTTCCTCTGGAAACATTGGGTATGTGATATTAATCATCAGATAGTTTACGGGAAATCTTATTCAGTGGAGTGTACAGGAAACAGTTTGCTCATTGAATGTTACATAGTTGATCATTACTTGTCAGACATCATGTGGGCTACAATGCAGGGTAATCATCGCAAGGAAATTTCAACTTCCTGGGGAATTCTCGCTGAATCAGCTGTGTTGGGCTTCCCATATTGGTCCCGATGCGCATCTCCAGTCTTCCCTGCAGAAATGACTTCTAGGCTAGTGTTGCACAGAGACCTCAATGGCCCATGACAATTGCAAACAAGAAGGAGAAAAATTCATTGTGATATTCCCTGCTTTTGCTCCGGTAGTAAAATAAGAAAAACCGAAGGTCAGCATGGATAGATAAATGCTGAGTCACAAGTTGTTATGGGAGAAGCACAAATAAGGTGAGGTGGAAATCAGACATGATAGGTAATTAATGAGGTGAGTTTGGAAAGATAGGACAGAAGGGAAGGCTAAACCTTGCAGCAACTATCCCTGCAAAAAATTTAATGCAACTCATTTATATAAATAATTTGGCTGTGAATAAAGGAGGTATGGTTAGTAAATTTGCAGATGACACCAAAATAGGTGGTGTTCTACACAGTGAAGAAGATTATCTCAAAGTACAGCAAGACCTTAATCAGATTGGTTAGTGGGCCAAGGAGTGGTAGATGGAGTTTAATTTAGATAAATGAGAGGTGTTGCATTTTGGCAAGGCAAACCAGGATAGGACTTATACAGTTAATGGTAAAGCCCTGAGGAGCGTTGCTGAATAAAGAGACCTAGGGGTACAAGTGCATAGTCCTTTGAAAGTGGAGTTGCAGGATTGTGGCAAAGGCATTTGACACGCTTGCCTTTATTGGTCAGTGCATTAAGTATAGGCGCTGGAATGTCATGTTGTGGACATTGGTGAGGATGCTTTAAAAATACTGCATTCAATTCTGGTTGTTAGACTTGAAAGGTTTCAGAAGAGATTTACGAGGATGTTGCCGGGATTGGAGAGTTTGAGTTATAGGGAGAGGCTGAATAGACTGGGGCATTTTACCTTGGAGCATCAGAAGCTGAGGGGTGGATAGGGTGAATAGCCAAGGTCTTTTTCCCAGGGTAGGGGAGTCCAAAACTATAGGACATAGTTTTATGGAGAGAGGGGAAAGATTTAAAAGGGACCTGAGGAGAAAATTTCTCAGACAGAGGGTGGTGCGTGTATGGAACAAGCTGCCATAGGAAATGGTGGAGGTGAGTTCAGTTGCAACATTTAAAAGGTATCTGGATGGGTACATGAATAGGAATGATTTAGAGGGATATTGGCCAAATACTGGCAAACGGGACTAGATCAAATTAGGATATCTGATCAGCGCTGACGAGTTGAAACGAAGGGTTTGTTTCCTTGCTATATAACTCTATGACTCAGTGACTCTATATCTCAGACTTAGCCAAAAAAATTCTAAGCTTCAAGCCATTCTTGACATTCTGAATCAGATTATTCTATTCTTGCCATACTTTGTTGCCATTGCCCATGCTGTTCAAGGGCAGGGAAAATTCTGCCCAATGTCCCTCTTTGTGAAAAATCTACACCTGAGTGCAGATTGATGGCAGGTCTCCTCCTCCTCCTTTTCCAGCTGGCAGTCAGAACTTTAACATAGTTTTGGTTTGAGCTTTGTCGAGTTCAATGTGACTTGCCTGCTTTTGTACTCAACACCTCTATTCAGGAAGTCCAAGATCGCATATACTTTACTAATTACCCTCTGAATTTGTTCTGCCATCTTCAGAGATCAAGAACGTGAATTTCCAGGTCCTGCTTTCTGTACAGACTCTCCAGAACTGTACCATTCAGTCTTCAGTACCTCTTTCTGTTTCTTCTGTCTAAATTCACCTCATTATATTTCTTTGTATTAAATTTCATTTATCCATTCTGCGAGCCTTAACCAAGTTCTGCAATAGTCAAATGGTATTATCTTCACAGATACCTCATTGGTACTGTCACATCTCATCCAGTTAGGTAGTTTACAACTTCTGGACTCGGCATATTTGATTAATGTTTTAGGAAGATCTGGGTTGCGGTTGGAGTTGTTGGTTGTTTCGCCGAGCTGACTGATTTTCATGCAAATGTTTCATCTCCCTTCTAGATGACGTCATCAGTGCTGTATAGCCTCCATTGAAGCTCTGCTATTCTGTCCCGCTCTGAATTTACATGGTTTGGCCTGTCATGGGGGGCAGTCTTGTATCTGGTTTTGCACCGTAGTGGTAAGTAGATGGGGTCTATTTCAACATGTTTGTTAATTGCATTGGTGGTTGAAAACCAGGCCTCCCGGAATTCTTAAGTTTGTCTTTGTCTTGCTTGTCCTAGTACTGTAATTTTGTCCCAGGCAAATTGATGTCCTTCTATGTCGGAGTGTATTGAAAC